TGTGAACAAATTATTAGTGCATCAACCAAAAAAAAAATGAGTCGATTTCGTCCACCAAATAAAAAGTTCTGGTAGTTTTTGTACCACGACCCTCAAGAATTCTCCACTTGTCCAAAACGGCTGAACTAGATTGTTTCATCAAAATCTGAGTCTTACATAAAAGCAAATTCACAGCGAATTCACCAAAATACGTCGTACCATTCTCCGGATATTTCACAAAAGATACATTTTTTGAAGAACTGACCATCAATAGCAAAGGAGCCAGAAATTTTTTGCTAATAAAAGTTAGGTCAGATCGTCTTCTTTTGATCCAAAGAATATCGCAGTACTCTTTTGATCATGAGCTTACGGGACACCCTGTATAATAACAATTACACGCAGTCAGGAAAATAAATCAAAATTAAATGTAGTGTTATTCAAGGTTCAAGGTGTCACAGCGTAAGAGGCGAGGTGTTATAACTCATTGACACACAGGCCGGCATCAACACAAAAGTGCCATATATAAAATAGGCATTTTAAAGTACTACTTAAGTGTCTCATATATATTTTGTGTTATTCGTTCGCACTAAACAAGCATGTTTACTCTTGTTATTTTAGCTGGATTACTAACATACGACATCCGAGTGAGGGAACGGAAGAAGCCAGGCCAGGCAGGTGCAAGAAGGAAGTTTACATGGAAGAAACGTTAATTGTTAGATGTAAATATATGAAATGAGATGACTGATGCCTTTTTCCTGTTTATTTCCATTAATCTCTATGGGTTTGTATATGGAATGTCCCGTAAGCTCCGGAGCCGTTCACATTCATTGGCTCACAAGAATACGAACTGAAATACCTTTAATGAAGAAAAAATGTCCAGCTTTTGAGGGACACAGTTTTGGAAGAAATGTGTTTCTTGTAATATCGGTGGAGTGTTGGGTGTTAATCGAACTTGCGGTGAATTTATTCCTAAGCAAGACTCATGTTTTTTCATCGCTTTCGGCAAGTGATGAATTCTGAAGTTCTAGAATTCGATTGCATGGAGAATAAGTAAAGTTGTATAATTAAAGTAGCAACAACGCTACACATAGAAACTGATGATGGTGGAAAACACCGAAACGTATTTTAATTGATAAATAGACAATAAATCACTGAAGCCCAGGAATTGATTTTGATTTGGAATTGAACCAGTCAGGAAAGTATGTACAATGCGTATAATTGAATGTTGATTTCTTTGAACATCTCCGTGAATAAAAATGCCATCTACTCCCTCCATGTATCATCAAATCAAAGAAAGGGCTTGTGGTAAAACTACTTGAATATCTACACGAAAGACTGCTGGATACGTACCGAACCAAGACTTCTATTATGTCGTAGGATCTCGCGGTTTTCCCAACTGCTGCATGTAGCGAAATTCTCTTGTCGCAATCTGGTACATTTGGGTTGGCTTTACCCTTTACCAAAAGCAACTCCACACTGTCATAGGATTGTGCACGTGCCGCCAGGTGCAATGGCGTTTGTAGTCTGCAAATAAATCAGTTGTGTTCAAAAGAAACTGTATTTTTTAGAGTCAATTGGTTCGGATTGAGCATAACCAGAGAACGTGATTATTTACCTGTAGTTCTTCACATTGGCATCAGCTTCCCTGTCCAATAAAATATCAATACATTCTGCGTTTCCCCCTTCAGCGGCCAGATGTAAGGGAGTTTGCTCTTTTTCTTTAGTCCTAGCATTCACGTTCACTCCCTTCGTTTCCAACATGATTTTAAGGCATTGAGGGTGTCCCAGTTCGGCTGCTAAATGAATCGGAGAAATGCCAGAAAATTCGACCTCGCCAACATCAGCACCTACAGAATAAGCAACCAAACTCTCAAAAAAGAAAGACTCGACCAGACCCAGCTCTACCTTCGACTGTAAACAATCTAACGCACGCTACAGCATTGGCCCGAACTGCACAGTGCAAGGCACTTTCGTTACTATAAGTGGGACTATTGGTTCTGGCTTGAACTCTAGCCCCATTATTCAGCAAGATCATTGCGGTTTCAGGACTGTCCCCAAAGGCCGCACAATGCAAGGGACTGTACCATTTGTAAATAGCATTTACATCACTTCCTTGGGCGATCAGAAACTGCGTTCCTGGAATGCAACTGCTAAACGCTGTGAGGTGTACGGCACTGAGACCTTGATTGGGTTCATAATAGCTGAAAGTGAAAATAAGTCTACTGAAAAATTCTCCGCGCAAGATCAAAGCGCAACAAACTCTTATTAGTAAGATAACTTCTCGTGCTCTGTACACAGGGAGTTTTTTCAATGATTAGTCCAGGAATCTTTACCGCTATCAAAAGACATTTAAAAAAACTTATTTAAGGCAGATTTTTAAATATGTGACTCATGGTTTCGCTAATATTAATATGACTTTGTACGTACTTTTCTGACTGTGTTTCAATTCCAAATTAAAATCAAATCCTGGGTTCTTCAGTCATTTACTGTCTATCCATCAATCAAAAAAACGTTTCGGTGTGCATGTATTTGTACATGCCAAGGCGTAAAGTAGCAGCAACGCTACACATTGAAACTGATGATGGTGGAAAACACCGAAACGTTTTTTTGATTGATGGATAGACAATAAATGACTGAAGAACCCAGGATTTGATTTTAATTTGGAATTAATATGACTGGAAAACATTAACATGCAATTTTGCGTTGTGTTGATTTCACCTGAACTTTGCATTTACATCTGCAACTGATAAAAGAACTAAACCATTTTTCAACAAAATGTAAATAACTATAAGAGTTCAGATATGGTTTGAAGAAACAGCTTACTTTAATTGGGCTCCCAGCTTCAATATTCCATCAAGTAGGTCCCAACGCTTCAAGAACGCAGCCCATAGAAAGCAGATACTGATTTCAAACTTATTCGCTCCTTTGAACGACTCTTCCAGGTTTTCCAGCACAATTCTTTTGCTTTCAATATCATCGAAATAATGATGTTTGCCTGCAAACCAAGGTAAAAATTTCCAAAAGTGAGCACTGGGATTCCAATCTATATCTACCTGATGATGCTTTCATATGTTCAACAAGATTATTTCTGATCGTATCATGGCATATCTGCACCGACAGTTCATGAGTAGGAACCTCCTCATAGCTCTCATAGTACGGGTTATGGATGTGGTCTGCTGGAGGACTCGGTCCACACTCCATATACTCGTAATCGTAGTCTTCTGATGGATATTGCTCTTCGAGCATTGCCATTGGATCCGTATGGTGCGATCTGGAATTTTCAAATAACCCGTCTTTAAATAGCAAATCACATTTCGCGGAAAAGAAGCTCGCACCTTCGCCATCGTGGAACGACAACGTGCGTCTGATTGATGTATAATGGATGGCTTTCAGTATTCACGATGATCGATTGGTCCAATTTTTTGGAATTTCGATGGGGATCCTGAAAGCCCAGGTTGTCCATCCTAATGGTTTGAACTCGTTCATCTGTAGATGACACCATTTATCTAAAGAGTATAGTAGAATTAGTATAGTATATAGTAGAATAGGAATATAGTAGAATTAGGAGTACCAAGGAATCCAAGAAATGATATACAATATTCTTCGGTTCAACATTCAGCAAACCCTTCATGGTTCCAAGTGTGACGCTTTGATTTCGTTTAAAAATTCCATCTGCTTCAGTTAAGTATTTCCGACATTCCAACAATAAACTTCGTTAATTCTTTTATTGGACTGGATTAAAACGCACAAACTTGAACGATTAAATTATATTGCTCGATTAACATATAAAGCAAAACATAATTATCATGACACAATCAGGGAGACATATTCACACTTAAACTCGCCTTTATGATTTAGATTGGGTGTATCAATAATACCGTAGCTAATTGCTTCAACTTAGCGCCATTCAAATTCTGAGCAAATTTTAATTAAATTAAATGACTAACAATTCAATCAATATTTCATTTAATTTATTTTATATTTTAATAACAACACAAGCTGTGATGCAGCCGCCTCTATTTCCGGTATATTAAATACATAATTAAATGATCTTATCTTCAATTTTTAGCCCACTTTGTCATTTAAGTTTGAGTCGATTTGCCAACTCAAAAGAAACACGCAAATCTAAAACTTCTAGAAATCAAGACTTTTTCGAGAAAACTGCCAACATTTCCATATCGATGGTTCACTTTCTAAAAAGGCCATTTAATTCTCTCGGGAATTATGTAAAAATGAGCCTTCTTGCTCATTACGCTGCTGAGAAATGAGCAAAAACAGAAGGAAAAACATGAAATTTTGGCATAATCTTGCACCTAAGTGTCTGATATTCAAATTTCGCTTTATGGGTGAAAACTACTCGAATTTCGTCACTCGTGTTGTTATAACTGAATCGAGTTTTCAATTCTCTAACCAACGATGCCAAAAGGAATTCTGTGGCTCAAATGGAGCTTGAGAAACTTCAAAAAAAGCAGCATCATGTTTGAGTCGATTTTGCAACTCAAAAGAAAAACACGCAAATCTAAAACTTCTTGAAATCGTGACTTTTTTGAGAAAACTGCCAACACTTCCTTACCGATGGTTCACTTTTTGAAAAGGTCATTTAGTTGTCTCTGGAATTCTGTAAGAATGAGCGTTCTTGCTCAGTTTGCTTCCGAGAAATGAGCAAAAACGGGACGGAAAACATGCAATTTTGGCATAATCTTGCACCTAAGTGTATGATATTCAAATTTCGCTTTCTGGGTCAAAAGTACTCGAATTTCCTCACTCACGTTGTTACGAGTGAATCGACTTTTCAATTTTCTATCCAACGATGCCAAAACGAATTCTGTGGCTCAAATAGTTCTTGAGAAACTTAGAAAAAARCAGTGTCATGTTTGAGTCGATTTTGCGAGTCAGAGAAAAAGCACGCAAGTCTAAAACTCCTTGAAATGAAAACTTTTTGGAGAAAACTGYCCACATTTCTTTATCGATGGTTCACTTTCGCAAAAGTACATTTYTTGCTCATTCTGCTTCCGAGAAATGAGCAAAAACGGGACGGAAAACATGCAATTTTGGCATAATCTTGCACCTAAGTGTCTGATATTCAAATTTCGCTTTCTGGGTCAAAACTACTCCAATTTCCTCACTCCTGTTGCAAAAATGTTGCCTTGTTTCCTAGTTTGATCATTATTTTCCTCAGAATAATTTCTTCGATAGAGATCAAACCTTTTTTAGAGATTCGATTCGATTTTTAGAGAATCTTTCGATAGAGATCCCTGAGGACACCTTCAGCTACACTTGTAGATTAAAGCGACTTACTTAAATAATGCTCTGCTCACCACTAAAAAATCACTAACACTTCTTAGAATGATCAGCATTGCAGTTGTAACAATGGCAAATTTACTCGAAGTCCAACGTCAAACTGTTAAATTTTATGCTTTATTGAGATTACCGTAATCTCTGCGTAAAATGCCGGCTAATCTATTTAACAAAATAGTTACCAGGTTTTATGGTCGTAATCCTACTAAAGTTAAAGAACTACGCCAATAATAAATCGGTTCTTCATGAATGGAACAGGAGCCCTGTACATTTACAGGGTGTTGCATACTGAAAAAAACACCATAAGAACACGATTTAGCCAAACGTTGCTTATTTCCCAAATGCAGACCCTTTAAGGGCATGTTTTAATTTCAAATGTACATTATTTCTATAATTTGCTCATCAAATATTGCGGATGTAGCCAAATTTTGGTGAGGAAAATCGTTTAAACGGCGCCAGGCTCGCATTGCTGTTTAATTATTCTTCAAAACTAACGATCAATTTTTAATATCCAAACAGCGACTTTACAAACTCTTGCTCCAGCAGGCTCAAGTCGAAATCAACTTGTACAAATGAAAAATGACGGGAATGCTTTGTGTAAGTAGTACATTTGACTAAGGCATGCTTGGCTAAATCCTATGATTCCACCCTACATATTCATTATGGACCACCCTGTATCGAGACAATCATTACTTGAAACTCTTTTTTGAACGATTGGATTCGTTTATATGTAAGGAAGTTTTTGTCAGCGAAAATAAACAAGTGCCATTTCATGTACCTACTAAGAATCGTTTAATTGACTAATCGTTTAATCGTTACTAAATTATTGTTTACTTTAATAGTGAAACTTTTATCTTGAATAACCCTGATAGTCCCAGGTGATATAATGAGGATATTCTTTGTCATACTAAAATTAATTTTTAACGACTTCATCGAAAAATTTACTATCGGTTCTACTACAAACTGTAAAGTAAAATGTATAGAAAACAAACGACTGCTGTTGTATTGGGTTAAAGCGTAAACTTTTGTAAAAAGTGACGTGTATAGAGTGCATTAAACAATAAAAGAATAAACTCATAATTCGCTATTAAAACATTCTTATTTCTTCTAGACTGCATTAGGTCAGGCGGTCAGTAAGTTAACCACAGTGACATGAAAATGCAACCAATTTAGATGCTCTAATGATCTCAATAAGACGGTCATTTAAGCTTGGAATAGTCTTGTATTGATCATTATAACACAGCTTTTGCCTATAAGCATGCAGTAACTGTATTTGAATACCCAAGTCTTGTTATACTCTGTATCAAAATAGTTAACGTGGACTTTTAGCTTTTCGCCTACAACTTTAATTAAACATTTTTAATAAGATCATCTTTTATACTTTCTGGCTCTTCTTACGGGAGTTTATTGACCGTCTTTACTGCCCTGCACTTTTTCCTTTTAAATACGTTTTGCTTGTTTATTCTTAAATTTATTAATTTGAATTGATAAAACTAAACTTTGCAATTTTAAGTTTGATCTTTCACTATTTGACTTGAAACACTTTCGGAACGTTTAATCAAATGTTTCCTGATCAACAATCAATCAATCAGAAACATTTTTAATACTTATGAATCAAAACTGGAATCTATTTAGTCGAACTTTTGGCTGAAGACAACCCGATAAATGTTTTGGTCTATTTCTGCAATTTTCCTCAAGACGTGCCGAAGATGATTAGGGCATAAACTGTTCGAGGAATCCTCGTTAATCGTACGAATTTTTGGTCTACTTGAATGGGTGCTGAACTGTGAAAACTATGAAACTATGAAAGTTCGAACGTTAAGATCATAAGAAACGAGCATCTATGGGCTTATTTAGGAGCAATGGGACTTTAAGAAAAGTGCAGCATTTTATATTTTTTTCTAGAAAGACCTTTGCTGTCGAGTGCAAAGTGAATTTTTTAGATGAGACTGAAAAGTGCGAAAACTGAATGGGAATTTTAAGAATTTGCAGGAAAAGAGCAAACTGTGAACAGAAGAAACGTTATGAGACAGAGCCGTAAATCTGAAACATCCTGTATGGTACGTGTAATTTGATAAATTGCCTTGCATAGGGAACGTTGGGATCTTTATATTTATACATTTTCAGCAGCAAAAAACCAGAAAAAACAAGGTTTTTCAGCGCCTTGAAGATCGAACCTTGAAGCAGTTTAATTTTTACCATCTAGTCTTCCATAAACGTATTATTTTCATATGTTTTTTTATATCCGAGAGACAAATTTTCACCATGTATATCTACATCTAAATCTATGAATTTATTGACTGAATTGGTACTATTTATTTCCACTTTCTTCAATGGAAACGTGTATTGTTATGAAACTAGCATTTAGTGCTGGCTTCTTTAGCCTGAAAATGTTGATAGAATTTTTAAAAGAAAACGTTGAAATGAACAATACTGAAAATACGAACAAACGCGACAGTCAATATAAGCATAGAGACAAAAAATTAAACACTTACCACAAGGTTTATGCGCCTGTACAGAGGCACCTACACAGCAACCATCATTTGCTATGGGTATTCGATAATATCCACAGGCCGATCCCCACTAATAATTGCACATTATGCTGGCTCTTTAAACGCTGATTAAACTGAAATACATCGTATGCCTCCTATACACAATGGCCAATCAAGTCATCAAAGCTTGTTTTCACAGAATTTGCTAGAAATCCAACAATAAATGGCCAATTGGAATTTCCTCAATGGAATTTAAACGGTTTGCTGGTCGCTCTAATTGTGCGAACTGAAATGCTTCAAAAAAGAATACGTAAGTACCTTAAAAGCTTGAATAATTTCTAGATTAAAAGTAGTTTGTAGCAGATTTATAATGCGCTTGGGCTTATCTGATTCTCTGTAATAAGGTGAATCTTGCATTTTTATACAATATGGCAATTGAATAATTAAAACCTGTCTGCGTTCGGATGCATTTTTATTAAACTTCTACTTGATTAGAAGGATTGCATCCGGCGATTTGCGATTTTAATAACTACCAAGTTTAACTAATAACTACCAATAACACTGATACTTAAACCAAGTTCCATCCGTGTCCAAAAGACATTAAATTAAGTTAATTTCCCCTCAATTAAGACTGAATGATCTACACAACCCAAAAAAAACATTATAATCAAACCCTCCACACAAATAAACATACGAAACATACAAAATTACCTGATTTTAAAAGCTCAGTTAATCCGAATCATGAAAGTGAACGCCAAAAGCACATTCAAACACTCTTAATTGGACACAAACATACTTCGGAACAAGGCTAAACTACCGGACTGCAAATAACCGCAAAAATAAATTGAAAAATTACTCCTTTAAAGACGTTTCAAATCGCTTTTGTAGAGGGGCATTTAGTAAATAAATAAAAGGCGATATTAGTCGATTCGCCAAGACGCAAGTGTCTATCACATTATCACCAGGTTCATCCGCCTGATGAATATCTACAACTGCAAGGGCAGAAGAGCCAAGGTGGTCGATAGCCTTATTTGTAGAAATAAAGATTGCTTATATGTATATGCAAAAGGGTGGCTATCTATCGATCTTTCTGCCCTGAGTTTTACATGGAAAATTTATACACTCATAATATTTCGATAAAATCTAGTTTTTTTTTTAACGAAAGGCATTTTTTATAACGAAAAGCTAAAGAAGAAACATACTGTGATTCATAATCAACATAAATGGACGTCACTGTATTTTAGTTAAACAGTCTCCTAAGTGCTTATCGAAAAATGCGTCGTTCTGGTTACAAAAACCTTTAATTTTTAGGTTTTCTTCCTAATAACTAAATATGTTCCAATTGTATATATCTTCTTTTCTCTTCCCTTTCTGCCTAATAATTAATTAGGTAGCAATTGGCTACTGATGACAAAATGAAATTTCTAAATTAACTTGTAGCACCGTCTGCCTCCTAAACAAATCTTCATCTGTATAGTTATAGGAACTTTTAGGCTTAACATTTAGTGCAGTACAGGATCATACATCCGTACATCTTATCCTAAAACACCCAAAAGTATTAATAAATCAATTGTTGCATTTGCTAAGTATGTAATTTATCCCGAGGCAACATCGAAATATCATCCCGATGCAAAACCAATATTAATAAATAGGGCAGAATTGAATTGATCGGAAAAATATGGTACAAAACAATTATTCCTTAAACTCTTGCTTTCTGAGAAAGACTTTTGTATTATCTATTTGAACCTTTATACAGGGTGATGTTGAATCGCCGATATTTCATAAACTGTGGAGGATTCAAGAAAAGAGAAAAGAAGAAAGTAGTTTGCTTAAAATGTATCTTATACAAAGTATATCAGATGCCCCGGCAGGTATCCCATTTTAGACAAATAGTGAATAAATGCGAACTTACCTCTTGTACGGCAGGATGAAGCAGCCAAATCAGTAAAAGCGATCCCACCCAAAAAATCGGCCTAAAACCCTAAATAATCGCTCGAAAAGATGTTTACTTCATTGAATTTCAAAATACATTTTCAGCCTTTTATCGAATTGCAAATGCCACTGTGTAAACCACAAACTCCGCAAGAAAAACCTAGCTAGACTTACCTGCTCTCTTTCTTGTATACCTTCGAAATAGCTGATACCTTGACCATTAATTGTAATTTTTCCGGTTCCAGGGGATATAACTGTGACATTTCCGATAGCCCTTTTTCGGCGACATTCTGGAGAATAAGCGGCTGGTGAAAAGTATCGAGCAAAGTTTAGACGAAGCAGAACATACCATAGACGGTAACCGATTCTCTGCCGTCTTCCCGTATTTGGGGCTTGATGGCATCATACGTTTCACTCTGATTCATTAAGGAAACCCGGTATTCCATTATGAAGTCTTTTACTTTATAAGCAAAAGGCATATTGGATAATCTGTCCATGGCAGTAACGAAGGTGTTGTATTCTCTATCAGACACTGTTTCCACTACTCTAAACTCTAGGGCGGATTTTGCGATCCACTCAGTCCCAGACAAATTCCTTCAAAAACATAATTAAATGGGGCTAAGTAAAAAAAGAACACTTACAATTTCAACATCGGATCTGGCTGAAGGTTTTTTCTAGTCATGCTGTCCTCAAACTTATACATCTCATTGATGTGCTCAACAACATCCTATGTAGAAAATGCTGGTGTGATTGCAGTGAAATTAGCAGAAAGAGAAATATCACCTACATACAAAACCTGATAAAAATTGGACCTTCCTGTGTAAAACAGGAAGTGATACGGACGTCCAGTCTCGTCAAATTCTGCAGCCTTCCTTTGCGGAAACACTTCTTCTGGAGGTTTCATTATAGGTCTAGCATGTTTCTGATAGAGCCCACTGGGAAACAGGTACTCTATGGCATTCTAAACAAGAAAACCCGATTGCAACAGCTTATAGACCCTATAGAAACATTGAAAAATCCTACATCAATATCCGCCTGGGTGAAGGTTTCAGGATTTTCTCCCATCATATTTGCTAGATGCCTTTTTCCTATTTCAAACTCAACCCTTTGAGCATTCATGAACTCATCATGTTCCCTAGCGCGATCCAAATAAGCTTTCATGGCTTTACTTAGGTTCTTTTTGGAATCACCATTTTCTACAGGAGCCCCAGTGTCGATGCTCCCAATTTCAGTAGTAGAACTTGCTTGTGCAGATAGCGTACGGATCTACGACAACTTAAATTAGGACTATTTTATTAATCAGTGTCTGCCTTACTTCCAAAATCTTCCGGCTAGAAAGCAGCCAGTTTTGAATATTGAGCAGATTGTGAGGTCGAAAAGCAATGCCGATTTTTCGCATCATATTGAGGCTTTTACAACCATATAGCAAAAATAGATTCGGTTAATTAATAGAGGTTATGGACAGTATTTCCCAGAGAAGAGTGACTTTTTGATTGATCGAGAGATTTGTTGGCAACACTTTGTGTCAACTTTTGTGTCTTCATCTATGACTTTTGTAACCTATAATATTGGTATAAACATTTATGCTTTTTAGTGCTTTTGATAATGGATATTAAATTAGAGTTCGGGTACAGCACAGTTAATTTTAGCGTAAGTTTCGAGCCTATTATTCTGTTGTTTCAGAGGTGGAGCCGAATTGCTCTTCGATAACCAGAAGCAGTATAAAATCACGTTGGAAAATAAGAAAACACCATGTAAGACTCCATATATGTGGTGTTTTTCGCCAAAAACCAATTAGTTCTGCTGCAATTAATTCGTTGTTGTTGCAGGGCTGATAGGCGATTTACTATTTTGGATAAAAGACAATCTGCTCAAGGACAGACCTGAACTCTTCCTGCAAAACGACTCTGTGTAAGTTTGTACCAGTTAAGGACATTAATAGTAAACTCAGAATGTAATTAAATAGTTTAACTTCATTGAAATTTGATGAACATGCCACTCATTTTAGGAGGCCTGGAATTTTAGTGCTAGTAAACGATACAGATTGGGAGCTAATGGTAAGGAATAAACATTCGCTTAAACGGATAAATCGACAAAAACTCTTTCTAGGACACCGTTCGCTATGAAATCAAGCCCAACGACTCAATACTGTTCATTTCCACGCTGCATGGAGGATGAGTGTTGATTTATATCTGAATTGAACGAACTTCAGCCTTTTTATATTGTAACTTATGTAAGTTTTAATTTAATAACATATATTAAACAAACAATGCAGCCTCTAACCGCGATGCCACGCGACCCATGAATCCATCCATAACCTCTATCCAAAAGTATCAATGAAACCTAACCCGAAAACTTCAAACTGACAATGTTTTCCTGAGCCAAATTCCCGTGAGTTAATTAAAAGCCCCCCTGAAAGAAAATGTCCACCAAATTGAAGCTGTATGTAGGCCGCAAGGTAAGGTAGGCATATAAAATCGCAATTTTATTCAAGCGACTTTCATTGGGCAGATAATTGATGCTCTAGACAAGGCCACTAAGTTCTCCCCCACACAGCTGCAGAATCTAATTCACGTGGGAAATCCCGTAGAAAAAAGCAAAGTTGAGCTCAATCTGCCTATGAATATTCTGGAAACCCATCTAGGAATAACCAACGTAAACCACATCCTAAAAATCCAACCCGATGATATAATTCGAAGCGTGAACTTGGTCAGAGACCGAGCTAACAGGAAAATTTCATTTGAAATAGACCGCACCATCTTCATGAAAGATGTGATGGAAAACTCGTTTTTGCCGGATTTGAATTTCAAGCCCCGAAACATGGTGATTGAGTTCAGTTCGCCGAATGTGGCAAAACCTTTCCACTATGGACACCTTCGGTCTACAATAATCGGCAACTTTCTGAGTAATTTGAACACATTCATCAAAAACAAAGTCACACGGCTGAATTACTTGGGCGATTGGGGCACGCAATTTGGGCTGATTAAAATCGGAGTGGATCATCTGAATTACGACACAGAAACGCTGAAAAACGACCCGATAAAACTACTGTACCAGTCGTATGTTCATGCCAATAAACTAGCAGAAAGCGATCCGAATATTGCCGAGCAGGCCAAAGCTCTATTTGCCCGGCTCGAGCAAGGATCTCCGGAAGACTTGGAGGCCTGGAGGCAGATTCTAGACTTCACCAAAGACGAATTGGCGAAAACCTACAGTCGATTGGGAATAACATTTGATGAGTATAACTATGAATCGATGTACAGTGCCAAAGAAATTAGCAGCGTTATTGAAGCTTTAAGAACAAAAAACATATTGAAGAAGCAGAAAGATGGCAAAGAGGTGATGAAAACTCGCCCACCATTAAGGAAAGGTCTCGAACTAAGCACTTTTTTAGGTAGCAGAAATAGGCAATGACCGCACAGTATCAGTGATGAAAAGCGATGGCACCACCCTGTACCTGACTAGAGATATTGCGGCAGCGATAGATAGATTTGAAAAGTTTAAATTCGACAAAATGTATTATGTAGTGGAAAACGGGCAAAGTGATCACTTCAACGCCCTGAAGAGCATCGTCAGCAAAATGGACAAGCCATGGGCGGATAGGATTTTTCATGTAAAGTTTGGCAGAATTAGAGGAATGAGTACCAGGAAAGGAACTGCGGTATTTTTGAATGACATTCTGGACGAGTGCAAGGAACTAGTTGTTAAAAAGCAAATTGAATCTCCAAGTAAGTTGTCGCCTTAAAAAGTGCTCCAAATCCATACTGCAACAAACAAACTTACAAAAACACTTTGACGATTTTAAGCTACTAAAGTCCCAATTACCGATGAGAAAACCTCAGACATTTTGGGAATTAGCTGTGTAATCATCAATGACTTGAAACAGCGCAGACAAAAAGACTATGATTTTGATTGGGACACGATTTTGCAGGCAAGTCCTACGGGGCGTCAATCTGTTTTCTTTAACCTTCGCATTTCGTAGGTAAAAGGAGACACTGGGATAAAACTTCAATACACCCACTGTCGGCTGACGAGTTTAGAAGAAAATGCAGGCGCTATTCCAGCGACGGTTTGCAATTCCGAGATATTGAAGGAGGAAGAAGTGACCATTTTACTGAAACAAATGGCGAAATTTCAAGACGTTTTGCATATTGCCAATGAGCAGCTGGAGGCCAGCGTGCTGGTCACATATTTGTTCCATCTCTGGTGAGTTGAATCGAGTCCTCTCCAATTCATTTAAGTGTTACATCAGCAACCGTTGCAGCAACCATATAAGCAAAGCCTTAAAACGGTTACAAGTGAAAGGAATGGATCCTGAAGTGGCGTCTCAAAGGTTGTTGCTATTTAATACAGCCAGAGAGGTTTTGAAAAATGGCATGACCATTCTGGGGCTGACACCTTTGAAAAAAATGTGATCCAAACTTGAAACGTTGAGGTAGAACAATAAATGTTGAATTTTAATAGCCGTTTTATCTGAAATAACAGCTCTAAACCAATGACCTCTGAATGACCAAACAAAAAACGCAATATATGAAGCAAATTATATTCAGATAACTTTGTTGACATAACATGTTATATTATAAAAATAACAAATAATGTTCAATTGATTACCCTAAACGTTGATGATATAAAACTGACAAAATTACACAAACAATTTAAATGTACTATTGAGAAATAAGGCAATCTGAACAACTTTTTAATAATTGCACAGATAACTTAGTCTGATGCATGTTACAATTTAAAATAAAATGATTAAAAAAATATAAGCCTGCGTAATATCTCAGGAAAAAACTCCAAGGACTTTAATGTATTTGATAATGGTATATAATTAATAATTGTACATCACTTTTCCCTCTGAGTCAATTTATAACATTCAGTCACAATAAATTACACTTCTTATTTATTTACTAAATAATCAAAAAGTTCTTCACGAATTACTGTCTCCAAATTTAAAGCTTGTAGGTATTATTTGCTGTGTAAACATGTAACCTGAAATGCAACAGAACTAGTCATTTTTTCTCCAAATAAAAAACCAAGGATTTGACCCAAACTCATAAAGTTCAACAGTATTCATTGCTTCCGATAAATTCATTCAGACAGAGTTAATTTTGACTACAGTGGGTGCATTTGTACATTAAATATATTCTTTATTATTCAGTTAAAACCACTTACCGCCTTGTTGTTCAATTTTTTTACTTTCCCTAGCTGCTGCTCTCTGTTCAGCCAAAACAGCGATTTCGTTAAGAGTTTTGAGATGTTGCTCGTCGAGGTTCGCTGTTAGCGCTGCGTACCACTCAGGCTCTTGGAATTGAATATCTGCAACAACCGTTTTAATAAGTCTCCAGTGCCCGAGGCAACAAAAAGAAACTTACTCGTAAAAACTTGTTTGAAGGCTAAATATTCGTCCACTTCACAACTTTCCTCGTCTAATGGTGTTGTGTATGATTCTAAAACGGTTTCTTCATTCGGCTCGAAATCAGAGTCATCATCGTCTGATGTGTCGTCGATATCGTTTATAGTTGCACTGATATTCATTCCTGAATAAGTTTCAACCCATAATAATGAGGTTAATTCAAAGATTATTAATCGTTTTACCTTTGTCTGAAGCTAACGCCTTTTTAGCTAGGCTTGCTAAATAGTCTTGGCCCTGATCATCGATTTCATCTTCATCAGAACTAAGAACATCTGAAAGAAAAGATCGTATTAACATCGTTATAATTTCGAGTGGACATTGTGCTGTTACTGTAACAATTTAAACTTTTAGCCTTGAAAAAATTGATTGTTCTGTGCATATTTCGGACACTTACCTTCTCCCAAGTCGGCGTCGTCACTCTCACTTTCCTCTTCCTCGGCTTCTGATTGCGCTTTAGCAGCATACGCTCGCTTCAAGCCGTCGAACAACAGAATAAGTGCAGGTACGACTTTGGGCGCCATTTCTAACAGCACAGCCGGTTTCTGGTTCATCGCTAACATACCAACGAAAATTGAATCGGGTTTATAAATGGCCAAACAGTCAAGACTTACATATTATAGTACAGAGTCCGAGAATGCATAGCTTTCTATCGTGGATTCCTAAAAAGCAGTCGGCATCATGAAGCCACTGTTTGATGAAATGATTGGTAAAATCAGGAATTTTTTGCAGCACACCGAAAAGAAGGTGTGGGTCGTAATATAAAGCGGCAATCAAAACCTGAAAACATTGTTGGACAATATTTTACGTGCGAGATTAATTTCAATGTAAAAACCTACCTGTAAGCACATTGTACGTAACTCGCTGGTTTTCACCTCTCCCAATAATCGCGTAGCAGCTAACTCAACCAACATAGGTGCTGCACTATCAATCTTTCCCCGACATTGCAAAATCACAACTTCCAACAGCTTGGCTGCATGAGATTCGGGATCTTCTCCACACTCTGTTTAACAACAACGAAGAATGATTAAAACTCTCCCCATATTAGTCCAGTCTGCACTTGCGTTTTCACGCTAAATGCAAAAATTCAAAAATACTTCCTCTTCGCAACCGCTCTTATTTGTAGGCTCATATTTAGAGACCCGGTTGAGCTACAAAGCTCAAGTTTTCATTGCTTGGTAGAGCGTTAAATTGTGCCAAACATTGTTGGTTCTAGTTTTCACGCTGAATGTCAAAATTCGAAAATAATGCGGGCCTTCAGAGCCGCTCTTAGTTGTCTATCGCTTACCTTTATCGAAAATCTCTTTGCACATGTTGTAAATGGCCAATAAACGTTTCTCGTCCGAGAGAAAGGCGTCGGTGTCGATTGTTATGTAATTGTGCAATGCCGGCATCATGTCTGTGAAGTGGTCGATGCCATTTTTCATGAAGACCTGCAATAGATTCGTTTGCTTTAATTTTAGAAAAACTAGCACCGGTGCAAACACCTCTCTTACCTGATAAACCAATTCGAATACCTTCCACATGTCCGCTGATATTTGCTTGCTGGTTAGATCATAGATTAGGGCCAGGATTTCCTCATAATACTCCTGAACCTCATTTTGCAAAACCTATTGAAGGAGGAAATTGCGTTTAAAGTAAACTTCGAAATAGAAAAAGTGGTTGTCTTTACCTGGGCTATAACCTGCAACACAGTTGGTTCGAGCAAACGCATCACTTCGGGTTGTTCGTCCATCACAGTTAAGATCGTTTCAATTGTGTTGAGTAGACCCATTGCCATGATCGCTTTCTCGTCTGAGCCTTCATCGGTGTCTAACACCTGGTTGAAAGTACTGGCCAAATGCTGACAGATTTCCACAGCAATCGATGTCAATTGCTGAGTGAACACACAGACCAATTTCTGCATCACACCAGTCACGTCTTCGTTTTCCGTTTCCCTGATTATCGTTAAAAGTTCTAAGGCTATTTGCTTGACCTGGAACAAACGCCCCTCAATGAGCAAATGCACAGCACAATTTTGCAACGCGTTCTTACCTGAGCTTCGATATACTTATGGCTTTTCTCTTGATAGTTTAGAAGCGATTGTATGGCAATTGCGGCTTCCACTTTAACAGGCAAATCTTTATCAAAAAGCAAAACTCGTACAGTTAGGTTGACAGATTCCATAAGGACGTTTTCCTGTAAATAGATCAAGTTTTAATTGGCACAAAGCACACAAATGTGTATTTTTCACTCACCTGTTTGAAATTAAATTCGGCAAAATAATGCATCACCCAACAAGCACGTGCTCGCATATGACCTCGTTCGCTGTTAAACTCTGGGAAAACGTACTTGAGGAACAGCTGGTCTAATTGATCCTTGTAAGGTTTCTTCTTGAGTAGAACATCTGCCAAAGAGCCGATCATGTGTAAGGCTCCGTCTTTTTGTGGTGCATCAGTTGCGGGGTTATTCAAAATTTGAGTCAGCATTCCCATCGTTTTACCCAACATCTCTTTCCTCTTCTTGCACGAAGAATGTAAGAGCGTTTGTGCGGCAGTCACCGGTGAGACAAAGTCCTCGAAAACATCTATGGCAAAAAATTAAATTAAGTGTTTTGCTCGTGCTTCGTATTTTCAACTCGTATTACCAAATTTGACTCGAATATATTCATGTGGATCTACAGTCCACAATTCGTGATCTTCTGCAGAATAGCTCATCAGGGGGAACAAAACATCTTGTATGATAGCGGGCATATGTGGTTTTAAAATTCTCCATGTATGAGCATGCAACACAGCCTGTAACCAAACAAGGCTGTAGAACAGCAAATAATTTATGAACAGAGAATCAATTACCTGATTTAGATAATTTAGAGTTTGCTGCAGCACCCTTGGGGGCACCCAGTGCCCACCTCGATAACCATCTAAAACCCTTAAGAGCACTTCCAATATTCCAGTACTGAATGTTTCAAGATACCATTCAGAAAATTCGTTGTATTCTTTGGAGACGTGTCCAGGAGACCCGTATCTAAAAACGTTTTTGTTGGGCAAATATTTCCTTATCAAATCGCATGGTTTACCTTTCAAACATCCGACATAAGATGTGTAAAGCCCATTTTTTACATTTCCACCAAGGTAAATCCGGCCTTTCGTCTTCGTCTGGTTGAAGAGCTTCAGGAGGCACCGCTCGCTCCACGACCTACGAAAAAAAAACAATTTTTAAAGCAAGTTGTAATAAATCGAAAATTTTTGTAGAAACTAGTGAGTTTTTCGGGCTTTTCGGTCGTGGTGGGAAAGAATTTCTTCCTGGTCTTTTGCAAGGTTGCGAAGAAGAAATTATTTTCCAAGAAAAACTCCCAAATACAAAAAATGGCGGTGAACGCCTCAAACTAATGTAAAACGCTCATTTATCAATCGTCTATAAAAGATTAATTTCTGGAAATTACAATACTATTTACGCAAATTCAAATAATTGCACGAAATGTTTCATTTGATTCCTACTTTAATTGTGTCGAAAATGCGAGTAATTTCCAATAAAAATATAAGAAAATAAATATGCATCAAGCATCAAGAAATATTTCACTGTTTAGATAAAATAAACTGATCTGAAAATAGAAGAGTTTAACCATAACATGCCGCATTCCTCTACGACTTGTAGCCGATATAATACTGTTTTTGATTATTTCACTGGTTTGATCAATGACCCGAAGCCCCATTAATGATCTAAAAATGTGGCGACCTTTTAATTTCAGATACAGTCAAAGTACACGCGATAAACCAACAAGGAAGCTCAATATTAACTTTAACCAATCAAAGAGGATGCTTACCTGTCTGCAGACCTCCATCCATTGAGCGAAAGATTCTTTGCTAATCAGCCCTAACGGCAAAATGTACTGCGTCAGGGCAAAGTATATTTTTAGGCCTTCCTTTTGCAGTAATACAGCTTGTTCAGAGGGATCGGCTAATATCCTAATCTGTAATCACCAAAATATTTAAAAAATGTTTATTAATAGCTATAATCGAAATCGTACCTCTAGCTGATATAACTGCGGTAATAGCAAGTTCATAGCTTCATGCAGCGGCGCTCGTTCCTCGATTTTCTTGTACTCGAAATTTTTCACAAGCTGATAAAGACACAGTAAGGTACCAAGCCAACAGGTCGGATCTGGGTTCGAAAGATATACACTAATCTATAAAAAAGACGCATATTTAGCACGGAAGATTTTCCACTTACAAACCAACTTGGACTTACTTTGTCAACAATTTGCGTCCATCGTCCTGGAAAATCATGCTTCACCATGTTATTGACGCAAGTACATAGTTGAGTTCGTATTAAATCTGGGGCATGAACCACAGCATCCACTATACTGTCCCGTATCAGGGCACTACGGGGGTGAAGATTGGATTAAATCAAGCCTTCGTTTTGCTATATAAAGCTTTACAGCTTACCGGTCTTGTTCGTGAAGCGCAAAAGGCACTGGTTGTCCCGCCTCAGCTTCCCGATCTTGCCAACTAGTTGAAATGAGATTTTTCTGCAAAAAAATGGCTTAGAGCGTTTTTATAGACTATGGCTGTGAAACTTACCAAGTAAATAGCGCCAGCTTGTCTCACTGGCATGTCGCAGTCTGCCATCATGATTGCTTGAAGTAAAGCAGGGGCAAAACCGATTATTTTGTAGATCTGAATAAAATAGAATAGAATTGTTGATTTATTCCAATAGGATGCTGTTTTGTAAAGAAATACGCCGGTCATAACCAATAGCACAAATGGAACATTGACCACAAATACGGGAGAGAAAAAATGGTACGTTAGTTAACATTAAAACGCTTCAGATATGAAATAATTTGTAATTAAATAAATTTTAAATTATTGCAATTCCATGCTAGGGAAACAAGGGGAAAAAGTTTTCTTTTGAAAATTGAATTTGCCTGGAAGGATCAAATAGATCAGTAAAGCTAAACTTTTCAACAAGTCAGTCAACAAAAAATGTCTGTGGTGGCAGAAGCTGTACACTCTGTAAAAATTCAAAAAACATACAGCTAAAACCATTTTAAGATTTAAATTGAAGGTGATTTTCATAAAAAAACCAACAATGTGATCAACAATATTAAAAAGCTGGTAAAAGAGTATCTGAGGAAGCCGTACAGTTGGAATGATGTGTGCAATAGTTTCCAAGTTTATTATACTTTAGTCCTATTTTCATTGATTTCAATTTAAAGTTTTATTGTGAAGATATACATGTGGAAAAGTGTAACAGCAATTTTTTTGAAGCAGAAAGTTTGAATTAAAAAAAACTCAGCCAGTTTAAAAAGTGTAAATCTCTGTACCTTGTATAACGCTATAAATTGCCCAATTGAAAATCTTGTATTTAATCAGATGGATCATGAAAAATAGATTTTACAAGCAGAAATCCAACGTTTGCTTTTATACCAGCTCGCAGATAAAAGTGACATTGAGAGTACATTTTACACAATTTTACATACAATGCGAGCATCTAGCACCTAATAAATAAATTCGCCTGATTTTCATGGGCATTTTTTCGGGAAAATGCTCCGCTTGTCGGCTGTTGCGTTTAGTATGGCGCATTTCCTCCGAAATAATTCGCGTCTCGTAAGTGCTGAATCAATAAAATATAATACAAAATCGCTTTTATTAAGATTTAACGAGAAAAGTTTTAAGGAACTGCCAGTGGCAATGTTCTGGCAGTGGCCCAGGCAATTTTCGCATAGCGTTAAAATGATTTCAGCTTTTTCAGTTTGCGCTTTTGCCGCTTGAAAATCGTTAATATTATTTCGACAAAACAACCCCAGATACATGAAATGATGAAAGTCTTACCCTCTGTTAAGTAAAAAATAGGAAAAAGCGCTTCAGGATGTTCAAGGGATATTAAAAAATGCTTCATTTCGGATTTTTCTAAACATGTATCGCATAAATTAATATAGTGCGCCTCAAGATTAATCAGCAGCAACACGGGGTAGAACGAAGGTCAGAAGTCGCATGAATGTTTTACGAAAAATCAAACTGTTAGCATTTTCAGATCCGATGTTGCTGATGTAAGTAGATTCAATTCCAGAGGCGTGCTAATCTCAGGCACCCCCAGGACCGGTTTGGAAACGATCAAATCGTATAAAGTGGGTTTAGGAGTACACCTTCAGGAGTGGAACACAAATCATACGGTTGCATCCATAAAAACATCAGTTATGCGATTCGTTAATAGTTAATTATTATTGGGCTGACCACAATATGGAAGTTAATGAGCCATACATGTGTAAATCAGTCCACTAGATTAGTGAACAGTTTGCCTGCTTTGCTAAAAACACGCTCACTCAAAGTCATTGAGGCTATTATTAGAACAATAAAATAATAGCTGAAAAGCCCCCAAGATAAGCCAGCCAGACAAAGTGAAATCGAATGTAAAGCTCAATCATTCAGATGCAACAATCGGGCCCCAACGATGGAAACATTCTGCAATTAAGGGATTGAGCGGATTTAATTCGGGCGCCCCTGAAACTAACTGAGACTCAATGATTTACACTAAATGGGATAATTGATATGGTTAGTGCTGGGCATCGGCAAGTCCAGCACATGCTGGGTTCTGAGCACATGTTTTTTCCTTACCTGATCGAGCTGAGCCTCGGCCTGTTGCCTCTGAGTGGGACAAATGGTTGCCCTGAGCAGGTCTATCACTTTGCGGATTTCCATACTGACAAATAAGAGCGGTAAACAGTATTGAGTGGCAGCAAGTTGATGAGAATTATTTTCGGCAAAATGCCTTCTAGTAAGGCCCGCAAATAATTTGACAAATTGACAGTGGAGAAAAGGTGCATGAGATGGCAATTGACAACGACAGTTGAGCATAGCCAACTGCTATTCAGACAATTTCACTAATTTAATTAAATATATTCTAAAGTATTTTCAAACTCTTTTAGCAGTTTCTATTGGTGAAATGTTCACGTCTATTTCAGTCCTTGAAAGCACTCAGTAGAGAGTGGCCTTCCAACACTATCAACCCCAAGTTGCACAGATCCCAGTGTCTGTGTCGCATAACCTCTCTGATCTGTGTTCAAGTTGTCAAACAATTGTCAAAACATGAGGTTATGCTTTTTTATGGATTTTATTTTTTTTAAATAAAAATCACAACTTTGAATATGTAAGGTTCAAATTGGCAGTGGATACTCCCTAAAGTTCAGCAGCGCTATGGCCAAGTAAGAGGCGCTTTAATAGCGTGAACTAGCTGTTGAGACGGATTTTATTTTATAGAGAAACCACTATAATTTTCCTCTATGACACAGAGCTGCTCAAAAGGGAGGAAGATGACCCCAATTCGGCCATTCTCTATTTCCACCCCGGCTGGGTGTCGGATCACCAAAAAACCGCCCTTTGTGGCCAACTAATGGGCACGGTCTTATGTCTGAGAAGTATCTTAGCTATGCCCAAAATACTGGCTCTTCAGACTGGAAAGTTTTGCTTAATAGAGAATGGGCGGTTTATTTTGGTAAGTTTTCACTAGAGGAATAGATTAGTTAGAGGAATAAGTTTGAAATATTAAGTAAAATGCTAATGACACCATTAAAACGTTTAGTTACGCTATAAGTAACCCCTGAACTGATCACTTCTAGGTGGTTGGCACAGACAAGAACATTCCCGACTGGGTGTTGCAGCGCAGAGCTAATGTGGTTTACTCCATGGTGAATTTCTTTCACAAAGACTTTATGGCATTGGCCCAGCGCTATGAGGCGGAAAAACTCAAAGCAAAGTTGTATCATATTTTCGATACTTACCTGAAGCTCCTGTACTTAGGGGGCAATATTTTCCACAATATCCCCTCGCTGGATTTGCCACAGGTTAGTCTATAACTCGCTTACCGCTCAGTAAACTGGAAATATCAGTATCGATATGTCTTATAGACTGAAGCTGACTTACTGGCAAATGTAAGGAGGTTTTTGAGCAAACTAAGAACAATCCAGCATACCCTAGGAGGAACGCTTCTTTATCATAACAAGTGAGGGAGTTTTAACAATTTAATAGCGTGAATCTGATCGATTTGTTCTTTTTTAGGATAGTTCTTACACAGCTCTCTAATCAGGTAACTAAGCAAATAACGTTTTCCGATCCCTTTCACATAAAGAATCCTGCGGAAATTTCACACGCATTCCATGAGCTTCCACCAGGAGTAAAGCTGCTTGAAGTCTACATATCAACTGAGGACTTTAACGGTCTTTCAGGGACTCAAACTGCTTCGGAACAGGCTTGTGTAAGTGAAGCTGCTACTGGTTTTGCCTGTTATGCGTACGATAAACTAATATTGCAGAAAGAAAGTCACTGTAATGAAAACAAGACTATCAAAGAATTTGATGCAACTTCTGCACCGAAACGAGACACGTCTTTACTTTTTACATCAGTTCCAGAAGATGCGCCTTTTTCCCCTAATAAGCAAGTCCATCTTAGAAGCCAAAAGAAGCGCTCTAGGCCGAATTCGCTAAATCTGAAGAGTTACTGTCTGGATGCTTCAAACGAATCTCAATTAAGTTCGTCGACCACTCCATATTGGAGTCATTCATCTGCCGTCAGCACGCCTATGAGTGAAAGTAAAACTTTTGCCGTCGCATCAGGTAGCGGCCAATTAAAAGCAAAAATGCCCAAATTTCTACAAGTGGTTTCAGATTTGAACAAAAACAGGCAGCAGCTGTGGAAAATGTGCATGGACTTTCATAGCACCTACATTGATGAAAATGTGAATTCCACTCGAGTAAAAAAGTATTACGAAGACAAGCAATTCGAGAATGCAAAGGCGCTCTTAAAATGCATCCAACGAGCTGTGGAAGGCTCGTCCTTGTTCCATGCGGCCAGTTTAAGCCGATTGCCGGAACTAAACAGTATTTACTCAGATCAGTATATTTCACACACAAGTATTAAGAGGTCCAAAAGCATACACGATCCATTGTTTCCTTGGTTCAAACGGGACCAGCTGGCCGCCAGTCAGTATTATATTGAAGATATTCTCGATAAGAATTTGGGCATTTTCCGAACGAACGGCACCTCTGTGCAACGACTGTTTTCGGAGAGAAAAAAATCGCTCAGTTTGCCAATTAAGCCATTCAATGCCAGCGAACCGCAGAAAAGCAGTCTGAATTCGCCTGGTAGGTACAGTGGAAGGTTTTATATGCTGAAAGGCACAGACAAATTCCTAGACTCTAACTGGCTTTTTAAAAATATGCGATTTAACAGAGCTTGAATGGTTGCACTTTTCCAGTAGTTCGTCATGCTTATTTCATTTTAATTTTTAAACCCTGAACAAACGACAATTTCCAGGTGGATATTGTACGCCATTAATGAATAGGCTCTCAATGCCCAATCCATTTGAAAGGCAACTGTCTTCGGATATTTCGATCGCCCCCTTTTTCAACAGTGACAAACGGGACGATGCAAATGTGCAGCTAAAAAAATGCATTTTGTTCATGCACGAAGAGCGAGATGTTGTAATGGCAATGCTCCTAACTCAGGAATGTCTGAAAGACAAAGGCATTCTTGAAAAATTAGTAAGTGCTTGGGCAGTGCAATTCGAAAGTTTAGCCAAGCAGTAGTTAATTTCCAGCATTGCATTTGTGGGGAGAATTTGCCTGCATTGGGAGAACAGTTGTGCGCGGCTCTCCAACCCCCCAAAACGGGACTGTCTGCTAATCCATGCAGTATTTTGAGTCTGGATGCTGAGTGGGATACGCGAAAGCAATGCGGCTTGTGGGAAGGGCTGGACTTGGGCGATTTAACCAAGCTGCATGGCGATTTTCAGGAAAACGCCGACCTGACTGATATATATCTGAGGTAAGGTAAATACTAACTTGCACCTTTCTCCATTTTATTCAGTATCCTCGCAAAGTACAGTAAACCGCGTAAATGCGTACTTTTTCAAAACGTTCACACTTCTAGTGGCTTTAGCCCGTTTAATTCGGAAGTACACCAAAAGGCATCCTAAGCAACTTAAGAGCGCTAGGCCGGCTTGAACAATCACAAATACAAAGAACGTCATCAGCAGGTTCAAGTCACTTAATCTGAACCATCCGATGATAATCGATGTTGCTAAGAATGTGTTGAAAACGCCGCAATGCAGGCACATCAGCAGATAAATTAGAATCGGTTCTGTGCGGTTCAAAATCAGGCTGAAATTGTACACGATAAAGGGTATTAGATAAAACATCTTCAGTCCAATATCGGTTTGCTGGATCAGCCCCATTTGGTCAGACAAGTCGGTAAAAAGCACATAAAGCTCGGCTATTAAAGACACCGTAAACAGAAAGCTTACAGTCCAAGTCAGTTTTTTTAAGGTGCATAGTTTGACGCACATTTTGACGCTTTTCAGGAGACCAGAATCAGTATTGTTGGGCCAACGCAATGGAACTTCTGAAGTATTTTATCGGGAATCAGCGTCGGCAACCAAGGGCCTTTTACAGCCCAATGATGCCTTACGCACTCTTCACGAATCCGCCAAAACACAGTTGGCAAAAAATCACGACATATTCATTAGATAGATGACTATACAGGGTATTATTCATGTAGCGTTTTAGTGATCAGGTACAATGGTTTATTTAAAAAGGCCAAAGTCAGTGCCAAATATAAGTGTTGGCTGCTTCCATTTTCCGTAGAAAATTCCCTCTCAGTATCTGTACTTAAAAGCGTATAAAAGTCGTTAGATCGGTGAAAGTTGTCTAGCATAGATTCAGTTGAAACCAATGTATTGCAGTGTATGTTAACAGGGTAAAGGACTGGTTTGCTACTTAAATTGAGTTGTTAATGAGATTGAATAATTTATTGCAAAAAGTGAAGATTTGTTACTTTTTTATGTTTTTTTTAGTTTAGTTTTGATTAGTGTTCCTTAATACTCAGTTAAATAAATGAGTTTTTGCAGTTAAGGTGTGGTTTTTGTGCTGAGACTTATTTTTTATCTACATGCCCCAAAAATTGTTTGCTATTCCTCGGTTTCATTTACATTACAATATTCACAAAACAGCCTTCAATCAATACGTTTCAGTATTTTCTGCTATCAGTCAATCTATTTAAAAAATGCTAAAAATTGACTAGTTATTCAAGAAAACTATTATAATTTTGTAATTTCCCAAAACATTACTCAAGATTGTTGATTTATTGAATTTAGATAATTATGGTTTTTAGTAAGTATGGAAATACTTTTAAAATTGAAATTGTGCGGTTTTTTTTAAATAATTTTCTTAAATGAATTAGACAAGTTTTGGCAATCTTTTCTTTTATAGATTGACTGAAAATACCGAAACGTATTGAGTGAAAAGCTGTTTTGTAAATATTGAAATAATTACTGATTACTGAAACCCAGAAGTTAGACTCACGCCGAAATTCCTGGGAAGAAGCTGTAAGGAAGTGGTAGAAATATGGATTTCGGTGTTGTTTGATTAATTGAGCTTTGTTGCATTAATTGAGGCCCAGTTATAAATCAATCTTCCGGACCTCCGCCCTCTAATTAGAATAATCTTAGCCCTGCTCTAAGTGAATTAGAATTGCCAAAAAACACACTAACATTGTTATCTATTTAACATGAAAAACACGCTCTAAAAACCGTAACTAGACAAACTAGATTTGATCAATGAGATTGAAGTTTTGGTGCTGCCTTTCAGGCATCACATTGAAATACTTTTTGTAGAATTCGACCCCTTGTCGATGTCCATGGCACCTTTGAACCCATGTGTGGTCCCATTTGGGGTCTGTCTTTTCGCAAGTAACCATCACTCTACCTGGCAGTATTGCGAACAAAGTACCGTTGCGACCGAGCCCAACCTTCACCCCAAACGTAAAAACAAATCAAGGGTGGTTTCAAAAGGGGAAATAACAGGGAATACGTACATTTAAGCCGGGGTGAAACCGCAAAGTCCGCTGAGTTGCTAGAATCGTTCCGGCTGTAACAGTGTGGCCGTCCTGGACTCTCCACCCTCTATGTTTGGGACGGGACTTTGGGCTGGTATTCCTAGTGGATCCTGATTGCTTTTTGCTAGCATTTCGAACTACAGAGACTAAAAGGCAAAATTCACCAAATCAACACTACACATAAGAGCAAGTTGGTTTAACAATTGTCAGCAGAAAAGTGACCAACCTAGAATATTT